TCAACTGTTAATAGCTGACATCCCCATGGTGTGTAAGAAAAAAAAATTGTTCTGAAAAAGTAATATTTTCTTTGGACATTGTTTATTAGCCTTCAGGAAGCACAAAAAACCAGCACTGAGTGTAATAAAACCCAATTTTCTTGGCGAGCCCCAGAGGCTCCCTGAAGCTATCTGAACTGGTTGATACCTGGTTGATGGGGTTCTGGGAGTTCTTCTACTCCCCAAGCCCAGCCCGAGGCCAGGAAACTGATACGAAAACTGATACGTGCTATATTAGTTTGGGGTCATCAGTCACCGAAGTCTGATGAAAGAAAGCAAAGAAAAGCAAAGAACCCGGTCTAAAGACCAAGGTGGTTCAGGCGGTGCATGAGAAGGCCGGAGGTTAAAAAACACATGAGACAGTTTGCAGGACATTGCAGAAGTAACATCTACCTTGAACGCAAGCTGCAGCAGCTCCGCCAATGCCGGACGATAAAAAGCAACAGAATTCTGCATCAGATGCTAGTCCAGGGAAAAGCCAAAAGAGAAAGGACAAGACAACCTTAACTAACACAAACAAAACCCTACGAAGGGAAAGTAAATGGTGGAATGACTGCCAACAAACATCATACTGTCACTGAGATGAAGACTGCAGGTGGGACACCATCAAAGAAGGCACCTGATCACCAGACAAATGGCAATACACCTGTGTCAGAAAAAGTGGATGCGATGAGTGGAAGATTAGGCCGAACCAGAGAGATACCTCACTGGCCCGACCTGCTGTAAAAGGCGGAGCCGCGGAAAAACTTCTGGGTGCGGACACCAATCAAACAGCGCCTAAAACCAAGGCTGGGCTGACCACCATGGGTCCAGTTGAATCACCCTCTTCTGATAGGATTCGAACCGAGCCAGAACCTGGAGCAACAGCCGGACCGGGAGAAAGAGGTACAGGAACCCCCACCATGACCAGTTATGCCGAAAAGCATCCACCATGAGGGCCTCGCAGTTGGAGAAAAGCGCCACGTACAGTGGAAAACGTCGAGACCACACCAACGCGAAGAGGTCCATTTCTGGGTGCCCATATATCCGACAAAGCCAAAGGAAGTAGGTCGCATTGATTGTCCATTCCATGGAAATAGGAAAAAAGTGTGACTCTCCGTCTGCCAGGATGATAGACACACCCTGAATGTCTACGGCATGTAGCTAAAACCCGAGAACTAAGCAGAAGAGCTACCCAAAGCGACCAGCCTCAAAGTTATGGACCGAAGAGAAACCCCACCCCACCCAGGTTGAGACAATGAATGACGGGGGGAGCAGTCCGAATGGAGCCGGATCACCGAGGCCCGAGGAAACTGGATTTGTCGCAGCGCCTGCCACACAGCCGCAAATTCCCACACCATGCTGTGTGCTTGAAGAAACGACAGCGCCCAATGCCCCTGGCGGGCATGGTGACAGCTGGTCACAAAGCCCTAACCGAGAGATGAGGCGTCCGTGAACACATCGAGTGAGGGGAAGAGGAAGGTGCTATGGCACCAAACCCCCAAAACCCCTTAGAAGATGCCAGAGATGCAGCAACCAATGCAAGGACACTGGAAAATGAACCCAGCAATTGAGAGGGGCAAAAAGAATTCGCTCTGAAGATACCAGAACAGATTCCGAAGCCAAATCCTGCCCAGCGGATAAACCAGCAGGACAAAGTACAGGCTTCCACACAGCTGCTCAAGCAACTGCCAACAGCTTTGCTCTGGTTGTGGTCCTGTCTTCAACTGTGTTTGAGGCAGACTTGGGTCCCTTGGCAGTTGCTTGAGCAGCAGTGTGGAAGCCTGTACTTTGTCCTGCTGGTTTATCCGCTGGGCAGGATTTGGCTTCGGAATCTGTTCTGGTATCTTCTGGTACCCCACACTAAGCCCAGCCAAACCCGAACCCAGGATGGAACCCATTGGGACTTCCACCAAGTTACCAGGAACTCGAATCCGGCAAGCTGGGAAAGAACCAGAACCCCAGCTAGCAGACAAGCAGACCGGCAGGGAGCCCACACCAACCAGTCATAGAGGTAGGCTGCCAGCCAGGAAGACAACGGAACCAAAAAACACACCCGATCGGTGTAAGAGGAACCGAACTCGAACAAAACCAGTTCCAACACAGAGGGGTAAACAGGGTCTCATGAGAGTTACAAGTAAAGGGCCTCCCAAACCTTCGCAAGGGGAAGCCGAGAGGAAGAAAACCCTCTGAAAGGACAAATCCGAGGAACCCTAGGGCACCTTATCTATCACATTTGTCGGCAGATAGGACAAACAATGTTATTTTTTTTTTTTTTAAATGAACCCCACAACTAAAACAGCTGTAATACGGACAGGATACTGAGCACAGTAGGCTAGGGAGCTGGGCGAGAATGCAGGGCAAAGTTGCTAGTTACAAAATTGGGGCCCATAATAAAATAAAAAAAACAAGCCAAGGACTACATTTGTACACAAGACGAGACTGCCCTGGGAACACAAGACATGAGCACCAACCACAATTCCCCAGAGGAACGGACAGGATAGAAGATAATTCCATAATAAAATAATGAAAACAAGCCAAGGACTACATTCATACACAAGACGAGACTGCCCTGGGAACACAAGACAGGAGCACCAACCACAATTCCCCAGAGGAACGGACAGGATAGAAAAAGATGGATGAATTAATACAATTGATACACCCAAAATGGGACACAGGTGGAAACCGAGTACCCAAAGGAGCCACAGAGACAATAAATAAATAGAACTTATTCAAAGGTTAAGTAATAAGGAAAGGGAATGCAGGAGTCAGTGATGAGGTGGATGCTGCAAACGCAAAAATGCAGGAGCTCAAGAAACTAGAAAGGAATGTGTATACTGTACCAGGTGAATTACGGGTGAGAGGCAGGCCCAAAGACCTGAAGTGCAACCCCCACAAGAACAACTAGAAGAGTACAATGAGGTGAGTACAAAATCACCAAACACCACTGGTAACACCTTGGCAGTGATGACGGAAGCACACATCAATTCATGTACCAATTTGAGTCACCGGTAAGAACAATGGCGCATTAACGAAATGAAAAACGCCCCAAAAAGCGGGAAAGGAATGATAAACTTTCAACCACCCAGCAGCCATACACAAAGAGTGGATAAAAACAAACCACACCTGTGGAATGGTGTGCCACGACCAGAGTGCTGCCCTAGCGGCCAGTTGTGGCAACTCAAAATATCACACTCGGAAACCCAAGGTTCACAATTGCTGATCTGAGAGGAAGGAAGAGCAGGGGTACCAAAAGTACTGGAAAATAACGGGTAATAAATGAACGAGGAACCAAATGAAAAAGTCTGAATATTAATTCATCCTTCCTCCCACCCCCCTCCCCAGTAAAAAACGTGCAAGCAAAAGGTGGATGCACCCAATGTGAGGGATCAGAAATCACGGCAGAAAATACTGTACGGTAATACTAACTCAGAAAGGGAAGGAGGGGATGAAAACTCCCTCCCCTGCAGCAACATCCCCTGCCCAGAAGACACAAGGGGCCAAGCAGGGGCAAAAGCAGATTTTCCCCCGAGCCTCGGGAACCCCCAACACAGGCTCCAGGGCAGAGCCATTTTCCACGCCCATCACCCCTGAAGAAAAGGCGGCATCCAGGAGAAAAGCTTCCAAGAAGGGAGTCTGCTGGGTTGACCCAGAAGCCCTGGCAGGAAAATCGGGCTCACCCACCTCCATGCTCGAAGCAGGAGGAGGCAGCCCCTAAAGCCATCTGAGCTAAACCTCGCCCTGACTCCAAAACCCTCAGACGTTCGGGAGCCGGAAATAGAGTAGGCACTTGGGGCTAGCTAAGCTGGTAAAACCCTGTCTGTAAAGATAGGCAAACTGACCACCAGTAGCTGCCATGAAACCTTGGGGGCAACAGAGGAGGACCACTAACACAACCTAGGCGTGCTTAATAAGAAGCTAGGCAGACCTCCGTTAACAAAAAGCGAAAACGCTAAAAAACAAAACAAAACCCCTAAAGACCCACTACAAGCAAATTGCCAGCCAGAAAGAATTGTTGGCCACTGTGTGGAAGTAAAACTAGCTGCGCCAGCCACAGTGCACCCCGCCCAGCCAATAACACTCCCCTACACAAGGCAAGATGGAACGCCCTAGACCCCCATTGTAACCTAAGGGTGTTACGTAGTAATAACACCACCACACCACACACACAGCTGGAAGAGCCACATAGGGTAAAAATCCAGAACAGGAACTTGAGGCCAGAGGTGACTGAACTGACCACCAGCACATCAGTTCAAGAACTGGAGTGGTGGGCTGCCGGCTCACGTGACCCAGCTTCCCCTTCCCACGTAGACCCATTAATGATTGGGAGTGCTAGTTGCATGAAGCATTGCTTGTTGGATTTAATTCTAGGGGAGTTATTTTGATCTTTTCGGATGTAGATTGCACAGGTTAACCAGACAGTGGTCTGTTTTGATTTGCCAACCCTTCTGGGTTCTTCCCTGGTAGATGACAATGATGACATACTTTAAATGAAAAGTACTCATAGGCTGTTGCTCCCTGTCCCTCTCTAAGGGGAGGGGAGGGGAGGGAGGGGGGCCAGGTTCTGGCTTGTGGTCCCCAGAAAGCATAAGGACTCCTGTGACTGATGACCCCAAACTAATATACCACATATCAATTCAGATAGCTTCAGGAAGCCGACGGGGCTCCCACAGAAAACAATGGTTTACATTACGAGACAAATGATTTCAGTCAACATAAAAATCAAGCACTGAATGTAATGAAATTCCTTTTTCTGGTAAGCCTACAGTGGCTTCCCAAGCCTAATTCTAGTTGGACCAAGCCAGGTACAGAGGTGCAACAGGTTCTCTGAGAGAGAACTCTGTCAACATCAGAGGCCCGAGACTGTTCAACACGCTTCCACTACACACAAGGGGCATAACTGGCCGACCCCTCACAGTGTTCAAGAGAGAAATGGATAAACACCTCCAAAGGATACCTGATCAACCAGGCTGTGACTCATACGTCAGGCTGCGAGCAGTCGCGTCTAACAGCCTGGTTGATCAGTCCAGCAACCAGGAGGCCTGGTCGACGTCTGGGCCGCGGGGACACTAAGCCCTGGAAGCACCTCAAGGTAACCTCAAGGTAAGCCATAGCCCAACACATTTGGGGTTCCAAGATCTGTTGTTTGGATTCTGTACTATATTGCCGTTTGATTTACTTTACTTTATTACTTTATATTTTATATAGCAAACTGAAGAATAAGATGAGACGAGTACATGCAGCTTGTAATTGATACCTTCTTTATAGGTATATTTAACACTAAAAGCTTATTAAATATTGCAATATGTTTCATGAGCACTCAGAAATATTTAAATAAATAACTTAGACAACAACATGAACTTTAATTATATTAAAATATTATATAATCAACAATGAAGACTTCTTGTTGTCATTTTTAATCCTTTCCAGTGTCCTTTGAAGGTTTTTTGGCTTGTCTTTGTTTGGAGAATCCCTCCATTTTCTTGTCTAACTTCCTTTGCATTTGCTTACGCTGTGCTTCATTGGGTTTCTTAGATGGTATACCACTGCCAGGATACAGAACTCCTTCTTTGGTTATCATCTGCAAGATAAATCACTTTGCTCAGGATCCTAATTGCTATGAAAAGGTCATGGAAAACTAAGAGTTAATATAAGAAGCACGTTTCCAAGCTGAGCCATTTGGCTGGTCTGGGTTGTGGAGGACATGTGGACTTGTGGACCATTCCATGCAACAGCCTGTTGAACTAAGTTATCACATGTCAAGCCTGGCCCAAGTTGGGCTTCGGAAGTAGAACTCCCAGAACCCTCTCCAGGTATATTACAGGTATATTCCCTAAAGTAAGAATATGATGTAATTACCCAAGTGTAGTTACAGGATGAGAGCTACACTCGTGGTGTCCCGTCTACCCAACACTGTGTCATATAACGCTTTGAGGATACTGACAGTTTTGGCCTCCATCACCTTCTCACTTAACACTATCGGTCACTTTGGACCGGACTCTCGTCCATTATTTTTCTCCTGAGTCCTAACTGAGGACCGGACTTGCGTCCACTACAAAAATATTTGTATAAAATTCATTTTTTATCCAATCGACCTAGGAATAGTATCAAAATAAGCGTCTTTAGAATACGCACAATTTTATACCAAAATGAAAGATGTAACATGAAACTTGATGTCTGAACACTTATATGATTATAAATAGGTTTTTAGTCAAAATTTTATAATATTTCTTAAAATTCTATTTATTGTGCTATTATGTTAGGACTAGCTTTAAAATGCGTGCCTTTACGTTGCAAACAATTTGATACCAAAATGAAAGATGTAACACAAAAATTTATGTCAGAACACTGGAAAGATATAAATAATTTTGTGATGATGAGCTTCCAGAATTAAAATATTTGTTAAAATTCCAATTATTGCTCTATTATTATGGGACTAGTTTTAAAATATGCGCTTTTTTATTGCGAACAATATGATACCAAAATGAAAGACGTAACACGAAAATTGATGTTATCAAACTGAACGAGTATACACATTAGGTTGCAGTGTACAAATTGGTGCTCGTTCACGGGTAACTTTAGGCTTTTCTGCGGGGAGGCACTCCAGGCTTTTGTACATTATATTCATACACATCTGTAGGGAATTTAATTGCGAACACAATGATACCAAAACGAGTGATGTAGCACGAGAATTAAGGTGAGAAAAATGGAACAAGTATGCACATTTTACTGATTTTGTGCGCTCACGGGTAACTTTTGCCGACTTTAGGCTTTGCTGTTGGGAGTCACGCCAGGCTTTTGGACATTATATTTATACACACCTGTAGGGAATTTAATTGTGAACACAATGATACCAAAACGAACGACGTAGGACGAGAATTAAGGTGAGAAAGCTGAAATGAGTATACACATTTAGGTGTCATCGCGCACTTACCCACACGCTCGCCCGCATGTTGGGTGCATGACCCCTAAGTTGACTTCGCGCCTGTCCGGTGACAGATAGTGTTAACTTGTTCCAACCGTCTACCATTCTGCTTGCGAAAGTGAATTTTCTTATATTTATTGGGCATCTTTGTTTAGTTGGTTTATATCTATGACCTCTTGTTCTTGAAGTTCCAGGTCTCAGGAAATCTTTCCTATCGATTTTATCAATTCCAGTCACTATTTTGAACGTAGTGATCATATCATCTCTTTTTCTTGACTTCTAGTTTTGGCCTATTTAATGCCTCTAACCTCTCCTTGTAGTTCTTGCCCTTCAGTTCTGGGAGCCACTTAGTAGCATGTCTTTGCACCTTTTCCAGTTTTTTGATGTGCTTCTTAAGATATGGGCACCACACAACCGCTGCATATTCTAGCTTTAACCTAACAAAAGTTATGAACAATTTCTTTAGTATTTCCCCATCCATGTATTTAAAAGCAATTCTGAAGTTAGAAAGCGTGGCATAGGCTCCTTGCACAACGTTCTTTATGTGGTCCTCAGGTGATAGTTTTCTATCTAGAACCACCTCTAGGTCTCTTTCTTTATCAGAAATCTTTAAAGATTTCTCACATAATATATAGGTTGTGTGGGGTTTATGTTCTCCTATTCCACATTCCATAACATGGCATTTATTCACATTATATTCCATTTGCCAAGTGGTGCTCCATATACATATTTTGTCCAGGTCTTCTTGAAGGGCATGATAATCATCTAAGGTTCTTATATTTCCTATTATCTTAGCATCATCAGTAAACATGTTCATATAATTCTGTTTATCAACTGGTAGATCATTTATGTAGATAATGAACATCACCGGTGCAAGAACTGAACCCTGTGGTACTCCACTTGTGACATTTCTTCAGTCCGATACATTGCCTCTGATTACTGCCCTCATTTTTCTATCAGAAAATTTTTCATCCATCTTGAGGTTATCTTGAGATGATTTCGGGGCTTTTTAGTGTCCCCGCGGCCCGGTCCTCGACCAGGCCTCCACCCCCAGGAAGCAGCCCGTGACAGCTGACTAACTCCCAGGTACCTATTTACTGCTCGGTAACAGGGGCATTCAGGGTGAAAGAAACTTTGCCCATTTGTTTCTGCCTCGTGCGAGAATCGAACCCGCGCCACAGAATTACCAGTCCTGCGCGCTATCCACCAGGCTACGAGGCCCTTCCATGTTAGAAGCTCAGCAATATTTTATATCCACGATGGGGCCTCGTAGCCTGGTGGATAGCGCGCAGGACTTGTAATTCTGTGGCGCGGGTTCGATTCCCGCACGAGGCAGAAACAAATGGGCAAAGTTTCTTTCACCCTGAATGCCCCTGTTACCTAGCAGTAAATAGGTACCTGGGAGTTAGTCAGCTGTCACGGGCTGCTTCCTGGGGGTGGAGGTCTGGTCGAGGACCGGGCCGCGGGGACACTAAAAAAAGCCCCGAAATCATCTCAAGATAACCTCAAGATATATCCAATATATAATATATCCAATATTTTCAAGTTTCCAGAGCAACCTCTTATGTGGAACTCTGTCAATAGCCTTTTTTAGGTCCAGATAGATGCAGTCAACCCAACCATCTCTTTCCTGTAATATCTCTGTTGCTCGATCATAGAAACTGAGTAAATTCGATACACAGGATCTTCCAAATCGAAAACCATAGTGTCTATCTGATATTATATCATTTCTCTCCAGGTTTTCTACCCATTTAGTTTTTATTATTTTTCCAATATTTTCACTATTATACTTGTCAATGATACAGGTCTATAATTGAGGGAGTCTTCCCTGCTGCCACTTTTATAGATTGGAACTATGTTAGCCTTTTTCCATACATCTGCTATGACTCCTGTACACAGGGATGCCTAAAAGATCAGGTGAAGTGGAATGCTGAGCTCAGATGCATATTCTCTCAGAACCCATGGTAAAAGTCCATCTGGGCCAATTGCTTTGTTCTTACTTAGCTCCTTTAGCATATTTTCCACTTCATCTCTAGACACCTCTATATGCTCTATGTTGTTCTCTGGAATTCTTATTGTGCCTGGTTCTCTGAAGATTTAATTTTGTACAAACACACTTTGGAACTTTTAAAAAGTGTGGTAACCGTGGTAGCAGTCAAGTGAAGGAGATCTAAGCCAACCGGGGACCAGAGCCAGAACCTGGCCCCCTCAAGAGAGGCACGAGGAGCAATGGCCTATAGACACCCCCGTGTAATTGGAAGCAGTCTTTATCTGCCATCTACGAGGTCAGGCACCCAGAAAGGTAGGAATCTCAAAACAAACTACTGCTGGTCAAAAATTGCAAACCAAAAGCCGAACTAGCAAATAGAACTCCCCAATCAAAAAAAACCAGCGTTGAATGTAATGAAACGCCATTTTCTGGGAGAGTCCCGGAGGCTCCCCGGCATCCCTCCCTTCCTCCGGTCGGCTGCGTTTTTCGCGTATTTTGACATCCAGCCGAAGAACTGCCAGTTGGATCGCCGGCGTGGAGGGTCTGGGGCTCTCCCTTCCCCCTCTTGGGAGGGGGGGGGGGGGTTGCACAGACGGTGGCGCGGTGACATGATAACGTCATGCAAGTTTGATAATTTTGTTTGGGGAGTTCTGTCCACTCGTTCGGCTTTCTTTAGCAATAATTTCACCAGAATAAGGGGTTTGTTTCGGGGCGCCTACCTTTCTGGGTGCCTGTCTCGGTCGATGGCAGACATAGAATGCTCCCAATCACAAGTGGGTTTCTATAGGCCATTGCTCCTCGTGCCTCTCTGAGGGGGGCCAGGTTCTGGCTCATGGTCCCCAGTAGGCAAGAACTCCTAGCACTTTGACTGATGCCAGAAAGTTATACATATCCATTCAGCCTGGATAGCTCCAACTTTCTGGCAACAGTCAAAGTGCTAGGAGTTCTTGCCTACTGGGGACCACAAGCCTGAACCTGGCCCCCCCTCAGAGAGGCACTAGGAGCAATGGCCTATAGAATGCTGATGTGATATACACGGACTTCACAAAGGCTTTCGATAAATGTGACCATGGCGTGATAGCACACAAAATGAAGTCAATGGGAATAACCTGTAAAGTAGGATGCTGGATACTCAGTTTTCTGTCAAACAGGACTCGGCGAGTAACGGTCAACCATATAAAATCTAGTCCAAGTGCAGTTAAAAGCTCTGTACCTCAGGGTACAGTCCTTGCACCGCTGCTTTTCCTTATTCTCATATCAGATATAGACAAAAATACAAGTCACAGCTTCGTATCATCCTTTGCAGATGACACAAAAATCAGTATGAAAATTATCTCGGCTGAAGACACTGAAAAACTTCAAGCTGATATTAATAAAGTTTTCGACTGGGTATCAGAAAATAACATGATGTTTAACAGTGATAAATTCCAGGTACTCAGGTATGGTAAAAATGAGGACCTTAAACATAATACAGGGTATAAAACGCAATCAAATGTACCCATAGTAGGAAAACAACATGTAAAGGATTTGGGAATAATGATGTCTGACGACCTAACGTTTAAGGAGCATAGCCAAGCAAATATTGCGACAACCAGAAAAATGATAGGATGGATTACGAGAACTTTCAAATCCAGGGATCCCATCACAATGGTTGTACTCTTCAAGT